AGATAGTAAACGAAGTAAAGAGACTAAAAAGCATAGTCGATAATTAGCCTACATCTAAATATTATTGAGAATATTTGGTCTTTTATTGATTATAAACGACAGGTACGAAAACTTTTCGAATCGATGCCAAGACGATTTCAACAAGTAATCAGTCGCAGAGTGTTTGTTTGTTGTTTAGAAGCCTACATTTCTCTTATATAGAGAAACATTTAGAATGTATAAGAAAAAAAGAGTAGAATAAAGAAAATCAAATGATATCTATAATTTTGCCACAGCACTTTTCTCTTTCTGTCGATCTTTGCACGTGTGTAGAACAAGAAAAAAAAGATAAATGCTACAGATCAGTGTTCTACATACATTCGTCTTACTAACACTGATATAGATTAAAATATAAGATTCCTTTCCAAAATACAATCTTTATTTATTTGTAAATTATATAGAGAGTCTATTATTTCGCTACAACCTACAGATACACTTGAAATAAAACTATTCGAAAAATCTTATCCACTACTGCATATTTGAAATTAAGAAAATTCAATTCCACCATCAATGATAATACTCTGTCCAGTCATATAGTCAGAATCTTTGCTTGCAAGGTACGATACAAAGTTTGCTACATCTTCTGGCTCACTAGTACGACCAAGTGCTATGAGCCTGTTTGAGTAATCTTTGATCACCTCTCCTTTTTGCTTGCCTTCGATTTTTGCCGCTTCTTCGTCAATCATATCCCACATCGCAGTTCGGACAATCCCTGTTTTAATTGCACAATGATACTTATTTATTTTAAAGAAAATAGTATGAAACATACCTGGACAATAAGCATTAACCGTGATCTTGTGTTTCGCCCATTCCATGGCAGCAGCTTGTGTAAGACCACGTACACCCCATTTGCTAGCAGAATAAGGGCTCAGCATAGGAAATGGCTTGTATCCAACGATGCTGCAAGCTCCAATAATTTTGCCTCCCTTACCTCGATCGATCATAACTTTGGCAGCTTCTTTGTAGCAAAGAAACACACCACGCATGTTGGTAGCAAACATACTGTCCCACTCTTCTGCAGTGACATCAATAAGCGGTTTCACCTGAGCGATTCCTGCATTGGCAACCATTACCTGTATTATTATATCAAAGTAAGTGAAAGAACTAAAGCAAAAAAAGGAGGCTTACGTCTAAACTACCCAATTCTTTTACGACATTCTGCACCATAGCTTTGACTTCTTTATCGATAGAAACATTAGCGATGATAGCGGCAGATTTTCGACCCATTGTTTCAATTTCTTGTCGAACGCTGTTGAGCTCTAATGAGCTTGCTGCAGTATCATTGATAGCCACATTGAGGCCATCTCTAGCAAGGCGAAGAGCAATTGCACGTCCTATTCCTCGTGCAGCACCAGTGACTAGTGCGTTGTGAGACATCTGAAATATAGATCAACATGTACTATGATAGATTGGTGGAAGTGGGACGACTCATATTCTATCATGGAACAGAATTTCTTGGAGCATGAAGTGAGATGAAAGCAGTATTCTCGTTACTCTAACTAGGAGAAGCGAAATTAATCTGATTGATTTTATGCTAACCTGTACGCAAACTAAATCTCATATTTCTATTTTCGATCTTCAGGCATGCATTGAGTGTCTCCTTGAAGAGTAAACACTTTCGTATGATAGACGGTAACTAACGTCCGTAGTGCCGAAAATGCAAGAAACTATGTAAAGGTCTACAATGAATAACTTAATTCAACTTCATTAGTCGACATTTCCAAAGATTAATGTGACCCACGAAAGGAACATTATTTTTTAGATTTCCAATAAATTCTCGCACATTAAAATGTCTTCTTTTCAGAACTCTGACCACTAAGAGATGTGTTGATTTTACACAATACTCATTATCGTTCCAAGTTAGCTGTAATTAGTCGCCATTGTTATTGAATGATATTATTCAACCAAAATTTCAAAGAAAAAAAAGTGGGAATTCATAAAACAAGATTTATAGTATGCCTAGGATATCAGATCAGATAAACAGATGGTGATTGTGGCAGAGAGAAACATCAGAAGTTCTAATGACTTGATGTACACTTTCCAGTTTCTTCACTGGAGCACTTCTCACTCAGAGTAGAAGATAACTACAGATCAATGATTACTTGTAACTAATACTCCTCTTGGATCATGAATGGTAGATAGAGAGAAAACATTTTTATTGTTTTAAGGAACTCTATGTACTACACTAAAGCATAAAACTTCGTTCTTTCATGCTTAATCATTCTCGACAGTATTGTTGCAAAATCAGAAGTAGAACTCGGAAACAAATTTGTTAGAAAACTCTGAAAAAGAAAGCAAACTTGGAAATAGAGAAATTCAGAAAATTCTGTACCCATTCTCAACAACTTATTGAACAAAAGCACTAGGATGTGCTGTCGTGTGTGTGTTGAGTAAAAGTGTCAGGACGAGTGTATAGGTTGAGAGTCATGAGGGAAATCAATCGAATACTGGTGTCTTCACTTACACTCTCCCAACAACCGAAGGCCATCCGATTTATGGTTTCAGTCAGAAGCGATTACAGAATGTCCATACTCTTCAGATCTATTTAGATTTACGTCCTTTCTATACATGCCATTCTACACGTTGAAATCTGTACTTTTCTTCTATACGTTCCTTTCTACGCGTCTTCTTCTGTACGTCCTTTTCTGTACGTTCTTCTTTTAGTTCCTTTTTTATATGTCCTTTTCTGTACGTTCTTTTCCATGCGTTCTTTTTTCCACGTCGTTTTTCAGATATCCTTTTCTGTATGTTTCTTTTTGTATACGTCCTATTCTGTACGTCTCTTTTTATATGTCCTAGGAGTATTATGTTAGCATTATATTTTATTCTAACACCTGTACTCAATGTAGCTTGTAGAAAGCTACCGGATATGCCATCTGTAACATTTTAGATACTGCAGCTACCACCCACAACGCTATGCTAGCACCTGAGATACTACAGATAGTAGCTGGGATGTTATAGCAATACTACAAATTGCAATCTTAGATTTTGTAGACAGTATTTGAGATGTTTCAGACACGAAATCCAATACTACATGTAGCAGGCGTAGGTAGCACTTGAAATGTACTAGTTTTAATATTAAAAAAAATGTTAACTTAATCCTAACATCTCGACATTAGTTAGCTCTAATGTCAATAATGCTAATACTAATTGTAATTCGACACCCCAAATACTTCCTTTTAAGTACTATTTAAGCGTAAAATATAGATAGACTTAACTGTATACACAGAGATGAGTATGGGTAGCGACTATCTAGAAGTCAATTATAGACTCATTCATCTATTTACTTTTCAAAAGGACGATATTCGAAAGACACTCAGTTCTTGATAATTTCTCTTCTTATATCAGTATTTTGTATTATATCAATACTATTCAAGACAAATGAAATTTTTGTTTGTTTTCGAATGATTCGTTGTAAATCCTTGATAGCTAGATTAAACTCGTTTGTATATGTCTTTGAAGTTAACACAAAGACAATAAAAAAAAGCATTAGTGAAGTAAATGAAATAAAATAATCAGCTAATGCAAGATTATTTTCAATTGGACAAAGTCGATTCACTATTGAAATAAACAGATATATTTAAACGATTGAAAAGTTTGCTACTCAATAGACTGATAAATAATATAATTTACTTTTTAACTTTTTGCTTTATTAAAAGTATGTTACATAACTGTGTTAAACATTTAATTGATAGCAAAACAAGCGTTTAGCCAATCAACCATATTAAGTAAAATTCAAAGTAAGAACTCCATCAATCTACAATGACTTTGTAAAAGCCATAGTTGAACAAGGATTTCATTTTGAATTAATAAAAGTAAAATAAATTTCAATAAAGATATAGACATAATTAATAAACAAGTTATTGATGATTCAAAAAAGATAAATGTCACAATCAGTTTGATATGAATTTTCTCTTCGAAAAGTTATTATTGATAAAATAACGTCGATAACGTATAGAAAAAATATTTATCACCAAAACCATACTTGTTTTAGCAGGTTTTGATTGATGAGAAAATTTAATACTAGCTTTAATATGATAACCTAATATAATATCTAATGAAAAACTATAAACTTTTGTTGAAAATTGATATCGACTACCTTAAAAACAATCTGGGCACACACAGGGGTGGGTATGGGTGCGAGGGAGGGGTGAGTATGGGTGTGAGTGTAGGTGTGGGTGTGTGGGGTGTGGGGTGTGGGTGTCAGCGGGTGTAGGTGTGAGTATGGCTCTAGTTCTTCTTTCCACCCACACCCACATCCTTATTATATTTGACGCCGATTAGGATGACAATGCTATTATGCATCTTATGATGATTTGGTAGTCGTGGAGGTGCTTTTAATTTTCTCTCACTTAGTTGCTTATATAGAACTGCTTTTAAAAACGTTTCGCTGGACTTGCTCAATTTCTGCTCAATTTCTGCTCAATTTCCTTTTCTACTTTCTATAATTTTTCATCAATCCGTTCATCTTTAGCCTCTTCTATCAAGTTGACTTGTAGAAAAAAATGGAACACTTCAGTTTTTAAAAAGTTATTTATTTAAGTTCAGTGGGGATAAAATTCGTCTCAAAATCGCTAAGATCATCAATTTGATAGATACGCCAATCAGTCGAATAATTAAATTCACTGATAACAATGTTGAAAATAGGATCAATTTCAATAATTCTTGAATTGTTAGCATCAGTAATAATAATAATCTATCTGAACAAGTAAATCTTGATGAAATAGTGCAACTAAAACATGTTCTTCATCGAAAGCGATTGCTAAATTAACATGAGCTATTTGATGAAGAGTAGGATAAATATAATGATGATGATGATCAAAATCTCTTGGCACACGCCGGTTTTTGCCCTTTGGAGTCAATATATATCCATGTTCACTTGCGTACCAATCGTTCAAAATTTCACCATTTAAATCTGTCTGAATAATGGCATCAATACCTGTACTAGTTATCAAAATAGTTTAAATTTCTACACGATGAATACTAGGTAAACAATTAAAACCTGGATTATCGATACATCGAATTTCAATATGGCTGTTCAGATCAATGATATTTATATAATTTAAACGATTATTGTCTATGTATAAATGATTAGAATCAATAAAAATCCTAGCTGATGCATCTAAATCTATTATATAAACAATTTCTTGATTAAGCCAATTTATAATTACAAATTTTCCTCCTAATGCAGGTTCAAATCCTTTTCGATTGTCTTCTATACCAATACATGCATCTTTTTTTATTGTCATGTTTTTTGTTCAATGTCTTTTTTTAAACATGAAATTGATCGGTAAGAAAACTTGCAACCACATATATAGGACAATTATAGCGTAAGGTTGATAACAATGAGACTATTCTCTTCATATTATTAATAGTATCAATTAAATTCATATCGGTTTCAAATGATATTTGTTTATTTCAGATCACATGAGTGATAGTTAAGATCTGATTTAGTTCCATTGATCAAGAATTAATTTCATTGTCGAACAAATTAGAATGTATTGGTATTTCTAAAATGTTCAATGTTTTTCCATATTTATTTAATAACAATGAGTTGGTAAATTCATATAATGAAAATTCATATTCTCCAAACAAGTACACAATACATATCAGACATGATGCAGGTTTCATGTTAATTTCAATTGATCTCCGCATTTTCAAACGGATATATTCGATGGCTTCAAAAACTTTAGCTCAATGTGTTAATTAGAAAAAAAACTTTTTGGATAATTTTTGTTTTAATAAATATCGTCAAATTTTAGAATAGTACCAATACAGAACTGACTAAAGACTTCATAGTGAGATTTCATTTTAGAATCAGATTTAGTAGTTTTTTTCACAGTGGTTATATCCATCTCTGAACGCACTGATAAAGTGACTGTTTTCCAATGAGAATCTTCACAACTATGAGAAAATTATTCTTTAGAAAAAAAAATACAAATTTGTGTAATATGAAAGGAAAAATAAAAGATAATTATATACCTTTTTCTTATATAAATTTTCCCATGATAAAACAATTATCTTGATATAATTGACGTAACATAATGCTATCTTCTGTTTCAAGTGTTGGATCTTCATTGCAATCTTTTTCGCTCGATTGGTTTTTGATTTTAACGTACATGGTTTTAATTCTATACTAGTAAATTGTCCAACTTTGTTTATTTCCGTTTTAATTTTTTTTTGATATTATCGATCCATAGAACATGCAAAATACATTGATGAGGTGATAAATTCTCACAATATCCGAGCCGTACAATTACTTCAATGTATGAAACAAATTGATAGCGATTTTCACAATGAGATACAAACGATCTCAATTGATAATTACGAGATTTCAATTCATGTCGCTTTCTTTTTTTCATTTTCCGATCAATTTTTCAAGTACATTTTTATTTTTAGCCACATGATCTTGAATAATCTTAATTTGAGAGCGTAAGTCTTCATAAGCAAATGACGATGGTATTGTAGAAATATTTTGATCAGTTGTCGTAACATTAAATGATATTCAGTTTAGTAAACATTTATACAAAAAGAGATTTTAGTAACAAAAACTAATTATTTTATATCGGTTGTCTGAGAGAATTTTTATGCATTCTTATGAACTTTTAAGCAGACTCTCAACAGAAATAACAGAATTGTTTACTGCGAAGTGAAACTTAATGTGAAAAAACTATGACAGGGTGTGGGTATTTGTCGTCTCTTCACCTACACCCACACACCCATATCTCATACACCCCCAAATTCTCACAATATCTGATAATAATTAGACGGCTAGAAATCAAGAAAAACAAAGACAATGAAAGAGAAATAATTCATTGTAGAATAGTAGCCTTATACCTTTTCATTTTTAACATGCTGCTGAATTTTTCGAGATTTCTATGGAATTTTCAAAGTATGTGAATATTTGACAAGGAAAATAGCAATTTGTCATAGCATAAAAAAAAAGAACTTAATCATTTTTTTTGTACTCTATGAAAGATACATTGCAATCTCGATACTTCCCACATCAAATACTATTATAGTTTCTCCATTAGCCAAGAGTTCCTTGTTGAGTACCAGAATGTCTTATTTGAATCTGTTTACTATTGTAAATAAAAATTGATCAAAGGTCAACAAAGATAAGAGAATGACATCGAGATCTTTCTGTTAAACGTAAACCATTATCACTAATAGTTATTGTTGGATTTTTTGAGCCCTAATAATCCTTATACATCACTAAAAAGCCTGTGAAATAATCCACATTTGTCTATAATCAATGAGAAGATTTTTCCCTCTTCTGTTCAATTAATTTCACTGCACAAGAAAATGAAACTGATTCTTCGACAGCACTAAGCTTCCACTATGACGTAAAATCGATAACTGTTCTAATCAACATACCGGTCTTGATAGCAATATAAAATGGTGGAAACCATAAGGAATATGACACTTGAAAACGAATCTTTAGTTACCTTGAAATTGGAGGTTTGGATGTGACTAATATTGTGGGCATCTGTGTGGATGTGGGTTTACCTTATTTACACCAACACCCACATCCGTAAATTTCTACCCTATATACCTCAACACTCCTTTCAGATCGTGTTTCACAAAATATTCTCAAAAGCATAACAAGAGATAGTAGAAATGAATCCATTAGGCAAGTTTTTCAATTGAATTCACATGTCGCTAAAAATTCATATGACTTGCTCATTTCTGACAAGTAGGCACTGGAAACAAGTGACTAAAAAACTAAAATTCGTCGTTCAATGAAAATATTTTGAAATACTTTCTGAAATACGACGTTATAGTTATTCGCATTACCAGAGGGGACTCAGCTGTTCCTTTCTCCCGGAATAGTTGAGTCCTGCCTAAAAATGACTTGAGCCCTAGACATCCACTAAAGCCAAAACTCTTGATTTTCAGGTTTTGATTTTGAAATATTGGTTTTAACATAGGTTTTGGTTTTGATATAGTTTTGATTTTGGAGGTGTTGGTTTTAGTCTTAAGAAATCATGGAAAAAAATATATTAAAGAATTAACTTATAGTTCTTTTCTATGAAGTTGATTACCTATGATTCCATGAAACAAAATTATAGTACAGTAGACCTTCTGGGTCCTTAATTTTATTCTTAGAAAACTTTGTCTCACCTTCCATAGTGTATTCACTTCAGAAAACGTATAAAGCACATTTTCTTATTGTATTTCAAATGGTTTGCATTTTATTGAACTCACATATATATTTTCGAAGAAAATAGTGAGTATAAGTTTTAAGTGAAGGTTTTCGACGCCCCCCCCCCCCCCCCCCTCTCCCCACTACAGACCTGATCAACAAGTTCAAGATTCGCTTAACAGAGATGTTCCTAGCAGGAGGTGATACTCTCTTCCAAATTTGAGAAGTCTGTTTTTTATGTTTGGGTGTCGGATGATATGCGGATGTGGGTTCGGGAATGGGTATCAATGTAGGGTCGGTATAGATCTTTTCAATCAGACTAACACCAACACCCGCACCCACACTCTCTTGAATCTTAAACGTTAAAGAATTTTGAAATATCTCGAAAAAAAAATCATACTTGTTCTTTTGTTTCATTCGCATATCAACGATGAGAAAAACTGACTATGAGAGAAAAGATATCAAGAAGCCAAAGAAAATTTCTAGAATATTTTATTTTGTCAAGAAAGCAACTATTTAACTGTATTTCACCATGCCATACCATCTCGATTTTTGTTTCGGCTGATCATTTTTTGAAGAATCACTAGTCGTTATAGAATCTTGCGAATCATTGGCGGCAGCTAACAAAGCATCGGTAGAGACAAACACATATGAATTCTGTCTTAATGTTGAATATCTCTTACCATCGATCTCGATCTTTTCCCTTGTCGTGATTGTGGATTGTGAAGGAGTGCTTGTTGATCTGGTTGCATGACTCGTCATGTTTGGTTTGCGTCTATACGTTGAAAAATGGTCTCCAGGAAGAAACCCATGTTTCAAATCGTCGAGATCATCTTTTCGATACAGTTCAAGAAGATAATGTTGACATGTGTGCGGATCGTTATCCAATATTTTCAGTTGATACTCATCTTCATCGTGATGACTATCATCGTCTTTCATGTCATTTGATATTTCCGTTTCGATTTTTTTAGGTTGTACTTGATAAAGTTTATTCATAAGTTCTTGATGTCGATGATCTCGTTTTGCACGAGAAATATTTTTCTCTTGATCTTTTTTGTCTAGAACATGACCAGACACTTTAACATCAAACAATCGACTGTCTCGTTTAATTTCATCACAAGCATCTTCTAACATAGTTAATTTCTCATAAATCATTTGTAATTCTTGAGTATGTTCTTCGAAATCAATCTGAGACATCAAAGCTATCTCTTCGTTGGACATTTGATCGAGACGATGTTGCAAAGAGTCCGGTATTTCAACAGAATCATAGTGTTGAACTTCAATGACAACATTGGCAAAGAAATTTGCAGTAATATCCTGAAGTAAAAGACCTCGAATAGCCGAATATATTTGATTGGTCGTATTGCGCATTGTAGGTAAGTAACTGGCCGTTTCTGAATTACGATTTTCAGGAAGGAAAGTTTGAGTATGATAGACTAATCGACGAAGATTAATATCCGACGTAGAAGTTTCTTCCTTTTGGTTTTCTTGAATAGTCGGTGGAAATGATTCAACTAAAGTTCGTAGATAATCACAAATACTATGAGCAGCATAGATCATTTTCGAACGTCGCGCATGTTTACTCGCTTCAACAGCACGTCGAATCATTTGACGTGTCGTACGATGATATTCTAAGCGAACATAACTTAAAAATTTTTCGTGACCCTTAGCTAGTAAAGCGAAATCACCCGTCGAACTGAGTAAAACATCAGTAACTTGTTGTTCAAAATGATCAAGAAGAAACGAATAAACCTGTGTTAACCAACAAATTGCCATAACGAATGTTTCACTTATGTAAGTATATAGAAGTTCACGTGCACCTTTCTCCAGGTTTTCATTATCAGCATTGACTCCATAGAGAATTCCTTGAGCGGATTCGATCCAATCTTGTTGACGTTCGATGGGTTGGTAAGTTAATATCATGTAATAAAATACTTGTCGAATACGTTCAAAATGTCGTGCACCAACATAACGTAATGGCAATGATTGAAGACGTCGCTCTATGGGTACTTTGTTCATTTGTTCCGCTGTTTGATGAGCCAACCATGAGAATGAAATTTTACGTGGCCATCGATTGTATTCTTCTTCAAATTGTGCATATGT